TATATATATATATGTGTGTGTGTGTGTGTGTGTGTGTGTGTATCTATGTTTTCCTTACTTGAAGATAGAAAGTGGAAAAGAACTGCCACTTATGAACTAATGATCATTTTTCATTTTTAAGAGTTCCACAACATAAGCAGGTTGTACTTCTGTTTCACTATCCGGGTTGTAAGCTTCCTTATGGATATAACCATAGTTCACTGTATTACATTGTTACAGTGTTCTAAATAGGTAGCTGGAAAAAACTGAAACTTAAATATGATATATCTTACAGTGTCAAAATCTGAATTTGCATTTTTCTCCATAAGCTGGTTGGCTAATTGCAACCAGACCAGGTTCTCCATTCTTGTGGATGTTAGAACTTGGTGAAACTTTTGGCTCTTTCTCCTAATAGTTAAACATTTCAATCAAAGACCACACCCATAGTCTCAGTTTTGCCTCACTTCCTTTTTTCCTCCAGTAGTACTTGCTTTTCTCAGACAATCAAATTTATGGGCTGAAGCACACAACTAAAGAGTGTAATAACAAAAGGGAAACTGTGCATATGATAGTCAATGTAAACTTAAACATAAACATGGCACTGCTTAACTAAATTCTCAGTCTTTAAGAAGTTATCTTTAAGGAGAATCCTCCTCACTAACTAGGGGCCAGCCCATGTTGAATCTGTAGATCTTGGGAGAGGTTACAAATAGTTTAAAAATGGCTATTTAACATTAAAAATCTGTTTAAAGAGAAATTTTATACTCAGTATGAAGAGGCATAAGAAAATTGGGCAGAAGGAGCACATAAAATCTACAATATGAAATTTGTATGCCTATGAAAAAGCACAGCACTGCAAGCCAGCCACAGCTGCTTGAGTGTGAGTTCCATCTCCTGCCCCAGAGGTGATCTGGGGGCAGACCTCTCCTGACCCACCTGCTGCTCCCCTCAGCAGTGTACTTCATGATCTGCCTGTTCTGCTCCCCACTCTGTCTCTGGTGAATCCTCTCACCGCCCTTGCACCTCTGGCCTATATTCCAGTTCTGTATGCATAAATAAATAAATCTTTTTAAAAAACAGGTATTTTAAGCTTAGGGTCTACTAATATATGAAGCTATGAAGTAACAGTTAAATATCACCCAATAAATGGCTATGAATAGAAAAACCATTTAAATATCTCATAATAACAGTTCATTTTATTCAAACAATTTTAAATAATATAATCTCTTGAAAGGGTCTAAGTCTCTACTTTCTGTGTTTAGAGCAAGTTAAATTCCACAGCAAATTTACCTCTTTGCTCTGCTGTTCAAAAGAATAATTCTCTATACCTCATGTTACCACAAATATTTTAATTAACCACTAAACTGGAACTCACATTATATTCTAGGCCATTCAAACTTCAATATTTATTGAAATGACTTGAAATTACTTTGTTTTCAAAGTTGACAATGCATTTTCCATACTGTTCCATTTTTGCAATGTTGGTAAAAAATGTAGATTATTGTAGATCATAGGTGCTCAAACTGTTTACTCTCAAAATCAAAGGAAATAGATACCTGACGATAAAAAAATAAAGTCAGGTAACTATCCAGAACATTTGCCCTATGAGATAAACAATAACGAGTATTTACTTTTCAAGCTCATTCTTTTAAATAAAAAAAAGTTCCTCAAAAATGTCTTTCTTGCACCCCCATGTTTACTGCTGCTTTATTTACAATTGGAAATACATGGAAACAACCCAAATGCCCAAAAGTGAATGACTAGATTAAAAAGATGTGGTACATATACATAATGGAATACTACTCAGCAACCAAAAAAATATATATAAATAAACACACATGCCTTTTGCAGCAACATGGATGGAGCTGGAAAAGATCATGCTTAGTGAAATTAGCTAGAAAGAAAAGGAAAAATACCGGATGGTTTCACTCATAGCAGGAGTATAAAGGACCAGGTGAGAAAATAATAATAATGAACAATTACATACTTGAAACATTTTATGGTGGTGGAGTGGGAAATGGGATCAAAAACATTGAGGGGAGGGAAATGCACTAAACTATGGTGAGGGAAGATGGGCTATTTGGTGATGGGAAGCCTATGGGGATTACAATAACTGAGATGGAAAAATGCACAAAACGATGTAAAATAAACTATTATTTAAAAAAAAAAATGTCTTTCCTGGGCCCTCTCTGGTGGTGCAGCGGGTTAAAGCACAGCACAAAGAAGTTAAAACCACTTCAGCGTGAGTTGGATTCCTATTCTGGAGGTGATCCACATGGCGTGGCAGACCTCTCCTGAATCGCCCAGTGCTCCCCTCAGTAGTGTACTTTGTCGGTCTACCTGTTCTGCGCCCCACTCTGTCTCTGGTGACTCCTCTCATCACCCCTGCATCTCTGGCTTGTACCCCAGTTCTGTATGCACAAATAAATAAATCTTAAAAAAAAGAAAAAGAAAAATGTCTTTCTTGGTTGCGTAACAATGTAAATATATTCAACACTACTGAACTGTAAATTTGAAAATGGTCTAGGTGGGAAATTGCATGTTATCTGTATTTTACCACAATTTAGAAAATATTTTTATAGATTAGAGATTGAAAAACAATGACATAATTCCTGAAGGTTTGTGTTCAATTGCAAAAGATCTGCTATCACTATTGTCAATCCTCAACTTTTTGGAAAACTGTCATAAATTGCCCCTCATTCAAAATACTTTGTACACTAATTAATCATCCACCCATTAGGCAATTCATTTCATATTGCTATTCCTCTTGAGATGGTTTAGAATCTTGGTCCTAGACTAGTGAAACTAGTCTAGAAAACAACTTCCTCTTCCCTTCTATCCAGGACTGAAAGCCCTAACAGCAAGCATAGATGATAAACGGGGGAATGACAATGATAGCATTAACTTAAGGAAACAGAAACTAATAGTAACTAATAGTAAGCTTGACATAATTAAATACAAAAAGTTGAAGAAATTAAACAGTAATACTGAAGCTTGTAAGATGTCAAAAATAGAAAGGATAAGTAGTAACAGCTAATCAGCTAATGAATCATGTGAGAATCATTAGACTAGTAAAGTTTCATTAATATATCAATAGACTTTATTTACCATTTATTTTGGGGTAATGCGATGGTTATCCTCCAAATCATGTCCAAATTATTTTCTTCTACATTAATAGACTATAAATTAAAATGCTCAAATATGTAAGCATGCACAAATGTCTGCATCTTCTGAAAATAGCACTTTGAGGGCCTTAAAGTATCCTTAAGTTCATAGATACTGCTAAATCACATTGCCTGCCTAAGGTCATATTCTTGTAAATGATCAAAATGTTTTAAAAAAATAAAACTTTAACAAGTTAATGGCGTTACCAAAGATTACATAACACATTATTTCCCACTCAAACTACTGAGGTTAATAAATGGGCTTTGGTTAGATGTTTTATTTTCCTTAGAAACTAGCCCTGCTTTAAGTGTACACCACACCAAGCACACGGCTGGATTACGTTAATGGTTTTTATGTAACATTAAATAAGTACAAGCATGCTGACCTTGTGCATTTTTTTTCCCTCACTCATTTTAAAATTCCCTTATAGGATTTGGCTACAGGTGAGTGTCAACTTGGTTATTACCTCTCAAGTAAGAAATTTCCGACAAAATTTGGAAGTTAACTGCAACAAAAACATGCTTTCAGCACTTGAATTTCACTCTTGGTTTCTTTCAGGACATAGAAGAACTTGCCCATATAGAATCAAAACGTTTTCGCTACAAAATATATAATGTAACTTGTCCTCGCCTGGGGTACATGAAAGAATTATTATCAGCCTCTGCTAAGTATAGCTTTTATCCTGATAGTGATAAAAAGGCGTTGTGGGTGGGGTTAAAAAGATACAACAGCTCTTTGTTTTGTACATTATTTATCATTGCCCAGTCAGAACCCTCCATTTATTTGGATTTACCATAAGGAGCTTTTGTTTACCTTCTTTCTTAAAGTTAAATGTTTTGGCCTTTATTTTTCTCACCAAAATGGAATTATTTTAGATCTCAAAGAACAGAGAGCTCTCATGCTATTTGAAAAACTTCGGGGTGGAAAAATGGGAAACTCCTCTTAGTTTTCTTTAGGAAACCAGGTAAACTGTCAAACTATGACAAAGCTAATTACGAAAAAAAGATGCTACAGATGAAACTAATTACTGATTTTAGGTAAAAATGTTATAAAAAGGGATGTTTAATATTAGACCAAGACCAAGGATAAGGTGGGTTCACAAACTGGAAATCTAAAACAATTCGCCATCTAAATGGGTCACCATAAATGCCATATGTCAAAATTCGACAGCGTTTTACGCTAGTTCCAGGTTGCTAGTCAGTCCAGGGTGGGATAAGGCCTCTGGGTTCGCACTGGGAGTGGGGCTCGCTTCGTCAAACCTGTCTCCCTCAGCCTCCCATCCCTCGGGTAGTTACCCAACTTGTCACTGACAAGGCTATGATGACACCACACAGGAAAGCAAAGAGCGAAATTGTGCAACAACTTTGGGAAAAACAACAGAAATAATTAAGCAGTTTTCCAAAGAGAAACCGCGACAGTTGCAGTTCTCGCACGGTAACCCCCCCCTCCGGAAGGGAGTCTGGGACACTACTGCCCCTTCCACTGCTCTCACAGACAAAGCAGGCCCTGCCTACCGGGTTTCCCGGCAAAGAAGTCAAAAGACCCAGAGCAGAGGCGAGCGGGATCCCTCCCAGGAGCGTCGCGGCGAAAGCCGTCGCCGCTGCATGACGCCACGGGCCTGGAAAGCCCCTCCCGGAAGCGCTGCGACCCGGGGGGGCAGACCCGGGAGCTCCGCTCGTACCGCCCCTGTCCACTCCGAGGGCTGGGGGTCTCTCAGCCCCGGCTGCACTCCCGGAGGCGCCAGTACTGCCAGCGCCTCCCTCTCGCTTTTACACATCACCCGTGACCCCCCTTTTCCATCACCACTCTCGACAAGGTTTGGACACACCAACTGGCTCACGAAGTTTCTTACTCACAGTTCAGGGACTCCGCATCGGCATCCCGCGCCTCAGGTCGGCGGCACCCAAACCAGACTCCAGCCGGAAGTTATTTTCCGTTCCAGTTCAGAGGGCAGCGCCTGCGCGCGAGCGTTAACCCTTCATTTTCCCCCACCCCCACCCCGCCAAGCCCGCTAGGGCCCTTCACCCCCACGCCCCGCCCCGCCCCTCCTCGCCCCGCCCCGCCGGCAAAACACGCCGCGGAAAGGCATCCAAAGTCAAGTTTAAAGGTCACCTGTGGGTCTTGGTTAGAGTTTTGCCAAACAATAAATGGCAAGGTCTAACACAACCGTCTGTCTGAGTTAGGATACACAAGAATCACATAAACGACTTGATAAAGACGTAAATTTATCAGTTCACCCCTGGAGACTCAGGGCTCAGAGCCACGGGGTGACTCTTCAGGAACCTTCATTCCACGAACCTCAAACGAATACGATTTAAGTGATTAAGGTCTACATACTGAGAAGCAGTTCTCACTCTCCCTCTCTCCCTCCCTCCCTCCTTCTTTCTCTCTCTCTTTCTCTCTCTCTCTCTCTCTCTCACATACACACACACCACACACACACACACACACACACACGTTAAGTTTTTCCCTTGCATGCATCACCACTTCCTTTATCAACATCCCACACCAAGGTGATATATTGTTACAGTTGATGAGCTTCATGACAGATAGTTGTCATCCAAAGTCTGTAGTTTGCATTAGTTTTCACTGCTAGTAGTGTACATTTTATGGATTTGGATAAATGATAATGACATGCATCCATCGTTATAGAACTGCCTTACACTGTCCTAAAAATCTTATGTTGTCCACCTAGTTATCCCTTACTGCCCCAACCCCCATCAACCATTGTGGGGTTTTTTGTTTTTGTTGTTGTTGTTTGTTACTATGACTTTTCTTTTTCCAGAATGTCATATAGTTAGAATCAAAGTATTTAACCTGTTCAGATTGGCTTCCTTTACATTGTAATATGCATTTGAGTTTCTTCCCTGTTTTTGCAAGGCTTGATTATTTCGTTTTGGGATTCAATAATGGTCTATTATTTGGATGTATCCGAGTTTATGTATCCTTTCACCTATTGAAAGATATCTTGTTGCTTCCAAGTTTGGGCAGTTACAAATAAACTTGGTATAAATATTAGTGTGCAGGTTTTGGTATGGACATACATTTTCATTCCTTTGGATAAAAACTAAGGAGTGTGAATGTTAGTGTAAATTGTATAGTAAGATTATGTTTACTTTGCTAGACTCTGCCAAACTGTCTTCCAATGTGGCTATACCATTTTGCATTCCCATCAGCACTGAATGAGAGTTCCTGTTACTTCACATCCTCATCAGTATTTGGTATAGTCAGTGATCCAGATTTTGGCCATTTTAGTATGTGCCTAGTGGTATCTAATTATTTGCATTTCCCTAGTGACATGCGATAGGGACCATCTTTTCATATGGTTATTTGCCATCTGTCTATCTTTTTAGGTGATGTGGCTGTTAAGGTCTTTGGCCCACTTAAATTTGTGTTCTTTGTATTCTTATAGTTGAATTTTAAGATCTTTTTATATTTTACATAATGGATTTTTTATTAGGTATATCTTTTGCAAATATTTTCCCCATATGACTTATTTTTGTTCTCTTGACCGTCTTTTATAGAGAAGAAATTTTTAATTTTAAGGAAGGTTCTGCAGCACTGCTTTTCACCAAACTGAAGGATATTTCTAATTGAAATAGTGTAAGTTAATAATTACTCAGAATTTAAAACTGTAAATGATAAAATTTTGAGTAAGGAAAAAATTAAACATACATATTTCATAAATATGTATTTTTCTCTTTCCACACACATAATGAAATCATGAAGAGCAGTGACTATACTTGTCCCAGAGTGTGAAACACGCCTGAATGCTGGGTGGAGGGAAGAGTTTTATGCTAATGCATTGTCAAACATTTTTTCTCTTTCTATAATGATGACAATTTTTTTGGAATTGACATCCACTATGTTTTATTAAAATTAAGAATAAAAAAAACTTAAGAATTGAGTTGACACATTTATTTAAGGACTATTCCTTTAGAAGAATGACATAATTTCACTTCAATTTTCCTTTACTCAAATTATTATATACCTCAGATTAGTAAGCACTACTATGGATTGAGTGAAATGAAAATAAGAATGTCAGGCTAATTAAAAATATTTTAAGACTTATTTTCAAACTGCTTAATACATTTCTGAGAGTTCTGAATATAAGCAGGGTGATAAGAAAAAAGCTGCCAGTATAAACACTTACTATAACTTGGAACGTCAGGTATGCATCAATGATCCCAGTGAAATCTTTGATGCTTTGATGTGAAAGAACACTATTAATAGAATCTGGTTGACTTCTGATTTAAGATGACATCTGGACTAGCTGTTTGTGTTTCTGATGCTGTAAACTAAGCATCTAATGAAAAATCAGAAAAACATGAGAATTTACAGTAATTTCAGAATACAGGATTTGTGACAAAGTTCGGCAACTATGACTTAGTATAACTTAGATTATGCTTTGGTTAGGGTACCCAGGTTGACAGAAGTACTCATTAGCCACACCATGTCCTCTTGTGCCCTAGTCTTCTCAGAGGAGTACCCTTTATTCTAAAGCCATGAAAAGATACCAAAAGAATAGCTTTAACACTATTGACAAACACTCAAAGTGACATCATTTGATTTCTGCTTCTTCTGATTGGTTATTTGTGTATAGGAAGGTGACATCATTTGATAAGCTTTTCTATCATTTGCAATAACTGTGGGTAAAAAGAATGGACATTAATTGTTTGAGGGTAAGCAAATCTGTTAACCTGAAGAAAAATAAGAAAATGACCTGCCTCATAGATCCTAGTAGTAAATTATATAGTAACCCTACTGCTTGTTACTTACAAATAGTATTTTATGCTTTGTTATTCCAATGACCTCATAAGTACTCCTCTCTTTAATATCCATTTTGAAACTGTAGCTTGTTGTATACCAATGTGATCCCAATGGGGGTGGATGGATATGAAAGGAAGGGCCTGGTCCAACAGAATTGATGTTTGAATATTGGAGTTTAATTTCTTATGTATAGTTCCTGTCAAGGAAAAGACTCATTTTTTTTTTAATTAAACAGGATTCTCCTCTTCATAAAAAAATAACTAGGTAATAAGAGTGAGGGATCTTGCCTCAGGCCAATGTCTATAGTGACAAAGTTGATAAATCAGCTTCAGTCAAAAACAGTTTGCACAGTTCTGAACTGTGCATGTCTATTTGTATCTCAGCTCACACCTACGCTGAGGTACAATGGAATTCAAGCAGATGATGAGATGAACCAAAGACAATTCACATATCTGATGAGTAAGCTCTACAAAAGACATGGATGAGAATACAAGATAACTCTTTGAAAGATTCAGTTGCATTAAAATGTTAAGTGAACACATTGGAAAATGAATTACAGGGAGCATAAGTAATGGAAAGAATCTGCTTTATATTTGCTATGAAGTAAGAAACAAAAGACAAAATATTCTACTGATATAAAAAGGAATTTAGGTAAGAGTCAGGGAAAAATAAGAAAATAGTTGAATAAGTTAAGACTATAGAGACACAGGACATGCAATGGCAATATTCAAATATTACTTAGATATAATCAAGGATGGACTCAATACTACAGTATCTTAAATCAATGATTACAGTAAAGGCTTGTAAAATTCTCAAAATGCAAGTGTAAAGTATAAATAAATAAAAAATATTAAATGGAATATCAGAAAGATTGTACTACAGCTTTCTTAAGAAAAAATAAGAGTACATGAACAGAAATAGTAACTAAAGACATATAAGAAAATAGCTGAAATACTACTTTGGCATAAAATAATTTCATCAGAGATGAAAAGGACTCAGTGAAATCTGAAACATAATTGTTTCAGAACACTTTGGCCTATCCTAACAAAAATTTCAATATTAAATGATGTATCTATTTATTTATTCAGAAAATATTTTGTGAGTGCTTGTAATGTGCTGAAAGTTACAATTATAAAGATAAAGATACCAATATATGGTTCTGCCTAAAAAGAACTAAGTGTTTATTATTGGTGAAATACATAAAGAAGTATGCTTTTACTATAATTGTGTTCAGTGCAAAATATGTTATTATAATATCACAATAGGAATAAATACACGGTTTTCCTCAAACACTTTGTCAAGGTTTGAGAGGATGGAAAAACTTTCTGTATCTAAAGTATGGAACATATTCAACAAGAATCCAGGTAGAAAGAATTAGTTACTTATTCTGGAAGAAAGATGGAGGAAAAGAAATTTATTTTCAATATTAAACCCCAGAAACCGATCAGAATTGCATCTACAGTTTTCTGGGAAAAATTTGACTTACAAAGCTTATGCCATCCAAATTATTATTCACATAGAAAAGGAAAAAATACCTGTCCTTATGTATTTAAAAGTTGAGCAATATGTCATTTCTTGAGAAAATTAAAGCTATATTTCAGTTAGTTTTGAAGAAATTAAAAAGAAAGCAAGATAGGGAAATTTTGATATCAAAGAAATATTGATAAACATTTGAAATAATTTAAATGTTAGATTAAGTGAAATCTTGTTACAAAATAATGAGGGGCCCTTCCTGGTGATGCAGAGGGCTAAAGCCCAGCACACTACAAGGTAGCTGCAGCTGCTTCAGTGTGAGTTTGATCCCTGCCCGGGAGGTGACCCACATGGTGCAGCAGACCTCTCCTGTCTCGCCTGCTGCTCCTCTCAGCAATGTGGTTCAGTGTATCTGCCTGTTTTGCTCCCCACTCTGTCTCTGGTGAATCTTCTCACCACCCCTGCCCCTCTGGCCTGTACCCCAGTTCTGTATCCATAACTAAATAA